CTCGTGCCCATTTCGGACCCCCGTGACCCCCCTGGTCCCCTCCCTCACCCATCGCAGGCATCCAGAAGGGTCCCCGCTCCGACTTCGACATGGCCTACGAGCGCGGCCGCATCTCGGTGTCGCTGCAGGAGGACAGCACCGGCGCCTTGGCCGCCTTCTCCCGGGTAAGGCCGGATCCGGCAACACCGCGGCCACCCGAATCCTCGCCTCCGGCACCGCCGGGGTGGCCGTGATGGGTGCCGGAGCCGTCCCGTCTCCCCGCAGTCCGTCTCGCACGAGCCTAAGGAGCGCAAGTCGGTGACGGTGGAGGAGCAGCCATCTGGTGTCTACCACTACAACTACTGCGAGGACGATTCGGTGGCCGGGGACTGTCCCTTCGGGCCCTACCAGGGCCGCCAGACCAACGCCATCTTTGAGGCTGCCAAGCGGGAGCTGGTCAAGCTCATGAAGGTGGAGGTGAGGGCAGAAACGGTGCCAACGCGGGGGTATCGTGGCTTCGCGATGGTCCTCGTTGCTTCGTGGTGGTCCTTGTCACCTCGTGGTGGGTCCTTGTTGCTTCGTGGTGAGTCCCTGTGGCCTTGTGGTGGTCCCCCATCGCTTCGTGTTGGTCCCTCGTTGCTTTATAGTAGTCTCTGTTCCATCATGTGGGGTCCCCATCACTTTGTGGTGGTCTCTGTGGCCTCAGGGTGGTCCCCGTGGCCTCAGGGTGGTCCCCCATCTCTTTGGGATGGTCCCGCATCTGCATGGTGGTGGTCTCCACCCCTTTGTGGTTGTCCCCATTGCCTCGGGGTGGCCCCCTGTCTCCTTGTGGTGGTCCACCATCACCTTGTGGTGGGTTCCCATCTCCTCATGGTGGTCCCCGTGGCCTCCTGGTGATCCTCTGCCTCCTCGTGGTGCTCCTCATCTCCTCGTGATGCGCCTCGTCACCTCACTGTGACGCCGTTCTTCCCTCTAGGACCCTTCTCTCCTCAACAACCGTGTCTTGCTCCATCATGCCAAAGCTGGGACGGTCATTGCCCGTCAAGGGGACCAGGTGGGTCTGGGTTTCAGGGAGCTGATGCGGCCTCTTGCTCCCCCCACCCTGTATTTCCACGGGGTGCTACTCTTCCTACTCCTGCCCTATGGGTGGTGGGGAGCAAGCACCTGCTTCACACCGTGTGAAGAGGACCTGAAGAAAGCCCAAGCGGCGCTGGCGGGACCTCTCATGCCTGGGGGGTCCCAGGTGGCCCCCAACGGTGACAGGGTGCCGTGTCGGTAGGACGTGAGCCTCCACTTCGTGCTGTGGGGCTGCCTGCACGTGTACCAGCGGATGATCGACAAGGCTGAGGACGTCTGCCTCTTCTTGACGCAGCCCGGCGAGATGGTGGGACAGCTGGCCGTGCTCACCGGTGAGCCCCTCATCTTCACCATCAAGGCCAACCGCGACTGCACCTTCCTCAAAATCTCCAAGTCGGACTTCTACGAGTGAGTCCCGGCGCCGGTGGAGGAGGTTTGGGGCACGGGGTTGGTGCCAAAGGGGATTCCTGGGCTGAGCGCTTCGGTGGCATCTTTTGGGGCCACCACCGTGTTCCCCAACTGCCGTTGACCCGTAGGATCATGCGGGAGCAACCCAGCGTGGTGCTGAGCGTCGCCCACACCGTGGCTGCCCGTATGTCACCCTTCGTGCGCCAGATGGACTTTGCCATCGACTGGATGGCGGTGGAGGCCGGCCGGGCGCTCTACAGGTGGGTACCCACGGGCGGATGCCCACCTCAGCCTGGGTGAGGACCAGCTTGGCAGGGGGCTGAGGTCCCGCTGGTGGCGTCCCCCAGGCAGGGTGACAAGTCGGACTGCACCTACATCGCGCTCAACGGGCGCCTCCGCTCCGTCATCCAGAAGGGCAGCGGCAAGAAGGAGCTCATCGGGGAGTACGGCCGCGGGGACCTCATCGGCGTGGTGAGAGCCGTGTCGGGGTCAGGGGGTGGACGCCCTGGACGTCTGGCCGATACCTCTTGGCTCTATGGCTTCTTCTCCAGGTGGAAGCCCTCACCCGACAGCCCCGTGCCACCACGGTCCATGCGGTCCGGGACACGGAGCTGGCCAAGCTGCCCGAGGGCACCTTGAACAACATCAAGCGCAGATACCCCCAGGTACCCCCAGATCCCCATCCTGGGCTCTGACCCTTCTTTCCGTGGAAGGAGCGTGTCCCCATGTCCCCCTCAGCTGGTGGCCGTGACGCTCGTTGAAACCAGCTTAAATTAAGGACTCGAAGACGTGATTCGAGCTGTTGGGGGGGAAGGGCTGGTGTGCTAAAGAGTTATCCCTCTCTGAAGTCCCCAAGGATGGGAGGTGGCGGTGGTGGCAGCGGTCTGGGGTGTTCACGAGTCTCCAGCTTGGGAAGCCCTGCCAGGTCTGATGGCCGTCCCCGTGCTCGTCCCTGCAGGTTGTCACCCGCCTCATCCACCTCCTGAGCCAGAAGATTTTGGGAAACCTTCAGCAGCTCCGTGGGCCCTTTGCAAGTAGGTCCCAGAGGGATTGGGGACAACGGGGTGTCCTCCCCAGGGCTGGTGGCCGTCATCAGAGCATGGAAGGTGTCCACCACCCCGTCGTCTCTGTGCAGGTTCCGGCTTGGGCATGGCCTCCAGCTCGGAGCCCACCAACCCCACCAGCAACCTGTCCACGGTGGCGGTGCTGCCGGTGTGCGATGACGTGCCCACAGCTGCCTTCACGCTGGAACTCAAGCACGCGCTCAACGCCATCGGTGAGTGCCGGTGCAGCAGTGACCGTGGCACGGTGGTGGCCACGGTGTGGAGGTGACCGCGGTCCTGTGGCACGCCGGTGACCCGGTGTGGTGATTGCAGCCCCGCGGCATGGCGGTGGCCACGGCATGAAGGTGGCCACGGTCTTGTGGTGTGGTGGGCACCATGGCAGGGTGACCATCGCAGCCCCATGGCGTGACCATGACCACAGCGGGGTGGTGACCACAGCCCCAT